CAAATATTAGTAGTGCACAACATAAAATAGAGACACATGGGTCATACAATCTACTATGAATAAATGCAATATACAGAACATGGTAATGCAACATTTTCGAGTAAGATTTCTCACTAAAAACAATTAAATCTGAACAAGATGAAAGCAGGATTTAAAGGGATACCCGTGCGGCAGAGACAGCAGCTTGGCCTAAGTTTGCGCGGAACTTTTCAGATATATTAGGCTGCACCAGCAGAGTGTCAATCAGACCCACATCCATTTATGGTAGAAAAGATACGAAATAATAATAGAACGAAATACGGTCATTACCGCAGGAGCTTCTTCGATAATCTTTTGGTGTCTTCTTTGCACACTGCAATCCCTTTCGTATAGATGAAGAACATTTCCATGTTTGTCACCAAATATCTAAAAGCAGTGGAAACACCGAAGCAAAATTAGTTAAAATGCTAGAAAAAGAGAAAAGCCAGAAATGGTTACTCAATGAATACGCCAGAAAAGAAATAGAAGTTAAGGTTTCAAACCAAAGAAATAATATATGTCTTCTTCTATACACAATAACTGGGTTTCAATGCGCCATAATCAGGCTCTCATAGAAGAAACAGAATATGGAATTTCATGACCCGCTACCTGGACTTCGATATGCCTCGGTCGGGTGATGTATTTCTCGAGAAGAATAGTGTTAACGCCAAAAGAAGCAGCAGCTTCACGTTGAGCCCCTAAAAACGAGTCAGCAAAATCCTTCTCACTTTGCACTATCCTCATTCCCTAAAAACAAAAGCTTACTTTGCTTCAAAACCAATAGTATAATTTAAAAGGGTATCAAACTTATTGACCAATGATCTGTCTTTCCGCCACTAAAAATATTATAAACCATGTTTCCAGAGCTGAGATCAAATTAAATAGAAACATGTGAGTACTCTGACTATTGCAACAAGCCATCTATTGGACAAACCAATGTCATAAGTCATAACATACCTTCCCCCCACCTCCATGTGTTGGTTTGATTATTATAGGGTATCCAATCTTTTCCGCTTCTGATTTCATATGATCAATATCTTGCTCATGGCCATGATATCCAGGCACGAGAGGAACTCCAGCAGCTCCCATTATTCTCTTGGATGCACTGAATAAACTCACATGAGGGACACGTCCTCAGAAGCTATTCAAGAGATGATAAAAAAAACAGCTTGTGCAAATGCGCAATAGGGAGGCTGTTATGGTACCTTTTATCACCCATGTCTCTAATTGCAGATGCTGGAGGTCCAATGAATGTTAGACCCGAATCTTCACAGAGTTGGGCAAAGTCAGAACTTTCTGACAAAAAACCATAGCCAGGATGTATTGCCTAGTTATATTTCAAAGAAGAACATCAGCTACGAGATAACGATTATCTCCTAATCCAATGAAGTCTCGGGAACTAAACAATAAAGTAATCAAAACTCACACCTGTGCACCAGTCCGAGACGCTGCCTCCATGATAGTCGCACCGCTGAGGTAACTGAGCCTAGCCGAGGGCGGGCCAATCCGAACCGCTTCGTCTGCAGATTTCACGTGGAGCGAATCTTTATCAGCGTCACTGTAAACCGCAACGGTCTGAATCCCTAAACGTTTCGCCGTTCTCATGATCCGGCAAGCAATCTCGCCTCTGTTCGCCACCAAAATCTTCTCAATACAACGATCCTTAGGCTTAATCGAGGCTCCTTCAAAAGATGCGGAGTCGGAAATATATCTCAGGAGCATCGAGTAATTTTTCCGGCGAACATTCCGTCGGAGTGCCCACACCGTCATCATCGACATTTGATCTCGATTTTCGAATTTTCCGAGTGGAAAAAAACAAGTGTGACTCAGCAACTACGTTGGCTCACGGCTGTGTTTGTAGTTGTAGATAAAACCAAACAACGAGGGTATTTTTGTCTTTACATTAGAAACTAATCGACGATGAGTAGTGACGTGGCACACTTTATCATGGTTGGTCGGAATGGATATGCGTCTGATGTGCCGCTTGCGTTGCGTCTTTACCTGATTTTACAAGTCTGGGCCTATGGGCTTCATTATTTTATTAATTAATGGGCTTATCTGTACGGAAGATTCAAAGCAACCTACAAGGCCTTGTTTCAGTTTTGAAATATAAATACTTTTGAATCATCGATATAAATCGCATTTATGTTAGAATGTAATTTTAAATTACTTGGTCTTACTATATACTAGATTTTAATATAAATCAAATTTGACTAATAAAAAACATGTGGACATAGTTATTATGATTTTGAAAATCATTATTGTAGTATAATCTTTGGTGGCATGAAACCGATCGAGCTGGGACTAATATACTATTAAAGTTTTTGTTAGGTAGGTGGCTGTTGAGTGTTGACTCCTCTATTTATTTCTGTTTTGCATCAACATCCTCTAGTCTATAACCGACAAAAACAATACAATTAAGAGAAAAAAAAAAAAAACACAATCCTTTAAATTAATTCAATATTGGCAACGAACTGAACGAGGATATAGTTATAAGAAGACAATATATTGATTTGAAGTCACGCTGTTGATTATTATTTAGTTTACAATATATAAATGAATCTTTAAGTCACTCGAAAAGTTTATGTAAAATAGTATATAACCGTTTGTGATGCTTAGAAGTCAGTCAGACTCCCTAATTGTTCCCAATAGGTGGATAATTTATTTGTCCGTGTCTTGAATCTTCATTTGAGTTTGGTTGGGTAACCAAAAAGAGAGTGAACATAAGTTGTGTCAAACAAGCAATGCATACCAAACAACAAAAAACATGTTCAGTCATGATTTGCTGATTAGTTCTTGTAAATTAAATTTGACTTTTTCGTTTTTAATCTTGATCTATTAGAAAGCTGAATGAAATGATTTTAAATGTAACATTCGATCGGATTACTCAAACTATTCAATATACAATAACATTAGTTAGTCACCGTATATTTATCTCTTACAAATGTTACATGAAGAAGTCATTAACAACGTAACTCCGACTCAACTTTAAATGATTGAAAAACGTTTGACACGCAAGATCGGCAATAGCAATAGATCGAATCTAAAAGCCAACGTGGAGAAAATAACAAAGGGTGACGAAAGTGGTCCAAAAGCTCACCGTCCAAGACATCCTGTCTTTGTCACTTTTCTCTTGTCAGCATCCTTATCATTATTTCTTATTTAATACCGAATGAAATAGTATTATTATTCCAAATAATAAACGAATTAAAATTATAAATTCATTTTAGTTCTTGGCCAGACGGGTTTGATCGATCATTCACATAAGAAAAGAAAGGCTCCGAATGGTAACCGCGTTTTGCGGTGCGGGAGAAGTGCGGTATTATAGTGCGGTACGGTTCAACTGCGGGACGTGTGGGAAAAATATATTTGCGGGACAAGTGCGGTTTGTATAAAATAAGCGGTACGAAATAATATTTGATTGGTGAAAAAACTATTTGCGGGATAAGTGCGGTTTTATATATAAATATATATATATTAATAATTAATTATTATTTTTGTTAATAAATAAACAATAACAGATATTTATAAACCATTAATACACAAATTGATCAAAATATAAATTTAATTTTTAAACATACATATTGTTGAATCCGTTGAATAATTTTATCATAAAAAAAAGTACAACACATTAAAAAATATTATCTATTACTTTGATTTTCCCATAACATATTTGCAAAATTATCTCTTATTTGCTTCATATATTCTTCATCTCTTATCTCCGTTGCTTCTATGTCATCTATTCTATATTTAAATCATTTACAAGTAGGCTTCTATGTCATCTATTCTATATTATCTCATATATTCTATATCATCGGTTATTTCATAAATGATATATATATTTAAATCATTTACAAAAGATACACAATAATTCATATTATTTATCATAACCTATTTAAATATTAACATCATTTACATTGATTAATGCAAAATTTTAATTTTTTTTTCAAATGACACAAATTAACATCAATAATAACAAATGATGAAAATAGTTGCATCACTTTTTTAAATGGACACAAAATATTAGAGTCACCAATTTTTTTTTTTGGGCAAAGAGTCACCATTTATAAATTAAAATATTACCTGAAAATGTGGGAGACTTGAGAATAAAATTTTAAAGAAAAATTATCAAAAAAAAATGTTAAAGTTTGTATTTGTGTATAAAAGAGAAGTTTGTATTTGTTATGAAAGATATTAAAATGTTTGTGTTTGTGTATAAAAAAAATGAAACATGTTTGTGTTTTAACATGTATATGTATTTTGTTAAACAAAAAAAAGGGGAAAAAAGCTGTATATGTACTAGTAGTTTTAATTATTTAAAATGCAAAAGCATGTTTTATTATCCGTTGTATTATTTGTTGCTGCGGTTTTGAAAACCGCTGGATAATGACCAGAAATTTTTTAAAAGGCGGTCCAAGGCTTTAACCGCTGGACAATTCCGCAAATTTTTTTTTTTTTTTTTTTTTGAAAAACGCAAATCTGTTCAAAAAATGGTGAATGGTGACCAATTGACGGATTTGCTGAAAAAGGTAAAAAAAAAACGCCTTTTTTAGTGTTACCATTTACACCCAAAAAATCAGCGGATGTTTATCGTGGCATAACGGCAGTGCATCTTACTTTGAAAAAAAAAAAAAAAGCATTCTCAAAGAAAATTTTAATATAGATTTAAAAAAAAAAAAAAAAGGAACTGCAGAATTGATGGGAAAATGTGAAGTATCAGATCGAATCTCTGTTTTTTTTTTTGCCATGGGCAAAGGACAAATAAAGAAATAAAATAAAATAAAAAATCACAGAAGATGTCATACTGTAATTAATTGTCGATCGATAAAAAATAATTTTCTTTTGGACATGAAAGTCGCATAAGTGTTTTTTCAAATAAAAAAATTGGCAGCGAAGGCGATCCCAAGGAGGCAAAGTCACGCAACAGTGAATTAAAATAATGAAAGAAAACAGTTTTACGAACTGTACTGGAGGGTAATATCGTCATTTCAAAGCTTGTCTCTAAGTCCACCAATGATACCTAAACAATTCTTCTTCTTCACAACGTAAAAAAGTAGGAATCAGAGCAGAAACGCCTGGAGAGAGATCTAGATGAAGAAGATGAGATGAGAAGAAGAAGTAGAAGTGAAAGCGGAAGCTGATCTCAAGATTTTTTAGAAGAATTATTGTTGTTCCGGTAACACTCGCGATCTTTGGTTTCAGACCTGATTTCAGTTTCAGTAGTGAATTAGATTCGCTTGGTAGATCAACTTCTTCTGTAGCTAATTTCAGTTTCGGCTAAGTAGTGTACAATAATCTCTGATTCCTGCTCCATCATGTGGTTTCTCTGCCTATCTTCTCTTGGATTTTGGATGTATCTGTCTTTATGCTGATCCAATTTTTCATCTTTTGCTTGACCAGGTTACTTACTACCGATTGTTTTGGCCAGTTAATTATTTTTGTCTCGAATTTGGCCTCCATTGACTTGGTAATTCGTTTCTATGTGTTTCTATTGTATTCTTCTGTATTTGTCTTTTATGTGACTGATCAACTTGTTTATTATTATGGAAGCTTAACCCTTGCCATTTTCTTCTTCTTCTTCTTCTTCTTCCAAAGTTTAGGAATTTGTACAGAAGAATTTGGTGTACTTGGCATTGAGAGAGAGACTTTTGAATTTGCACATTCTGGTTCCGGAGTGTGGAATTTTGCTGGGAAAAATGACTGCTCTTGTGAATGGTAACTCTAAACGCTATTCTTGGTGGTGGGATAGTCACATAAGTCCCAAGAACTCCAAATGGCTTCAGGAGAATCTGACAGGTATGTGACTTTCTTGTTTTAACGTCCCTTGTATTTTCCAGGGGAATTGTCATTTTCATCGTGATGTGGAAGCCACAATTTTTTTTTTTTTTTTATAACTTTAGTTCAGTTTTGTGTCATGCTTGGACACTTTTTATGCGATCTACTTATATGTTTCTATTTTTGTTGACAGATATGGATAGTAAAGTCAAGCAAATGATCAAGGTTATTGAAGAAGATGCAGACTCTTTTGCTAGGCGAGCAGAAATGTATTACAAAAAGCGGCCTGAGCTTATGAAACTGGTTGAGGAGTTTTATCGAGCATATCGTGCATTGGCTGAAAGATACGATCATGCCACCGGTGTTATTCGTCATGCTCAGCAGACTATGGCAGAAGCCTTCCCAAACCAGGACCCCATGATGTTTGGTGAGGAGTCACCTCTTGCTTCTTCCACCGATGATTTTGATCCACAAACGCCTGAGAGTTATCCGCCAATCCGAGCTCCAGTTTACCCCGATGATTTACGAAAAGGTACTTTGGGGATTTCTTCCTCTCATTTGAGTACCGTTAAGCGCAATATAGCCTTCATGGAAGACCCTCAGTCTGTGAGTAGTGGGAAAGGTTTTAAAACTGCAAAGGCAAGGAAAGGACTGAATTTCAATGATGTTGATGGAAAAGAAAGAAATGCTAAGGTTCTTTCAGAATCTGAACGCGCAAGCAAAGCTGAGGCTGAAATTGTGGCTTTAAAAGATGCTCTTTCTAAAGTGCAGGCTGAAAAGGAAGCTAGCTTAGCTCAGTTTGATCAGAATTTGGAAAAACTGTCTAATTTGGAGTCTGAAGTATCTCGTGCACAAGAGGACTCTAGGGGGCTTGTTGAACGAGCCATAAGAGCCGAAGCTGAGGTCGAAACGCTCAGAGAATCCCTCAGCAAAGTAGAGGTTGAAAAGGAGTCCAGCCTTCTTCAGTATCAGCAATGTCTGCAAAACATAGCTGATTTGGAGGATCGCATTTCTGTAGCCCAGAAGGAGGCTGGAGAAGTAGATGAGCGAGCCAACAGTGCCAAAGCTGAAACTCTAGCACTGAAGCAAAGCCTTGTTAGATCCGAAACTGACAAGGAAGCTGCTCTTGTTCAATATCAACAATGCTTGAAAACCATATCTAACCTGGAAGAGAGGTTGCACAAGGCTGAGGAAGATTCAAGGTTAACCAATCAGCGGGCAGAAAATGCTGAGGGTGAAGTTGAAAGCTTGAAGCAAAAGGTTTCCAAATTAATTGAAGAAAACGAAGCTTACGAACTCCAATACCAACAGTGTCTGGACACAATTGCAGATTTAAAGCTCAAGCTGTTTCATGCTCAAGAAGAAACGCAAAGGCTCAGCCGTGAAATAGAGGATGGAGTTGCTAAGCTAAAATTTGCAGAGGAAAAATGTGTTGTGCTTGAGAGATCAAATCAAAATCTTCACTCTGAGCTGGATGGTCTATTGGAGAAACTGGGGAATCAAAGTCATGAGCTCACGGAGAAACAGAAAGAGATGGGAAGATTGTGGACTTGTGTACAAGAAGAACACTTGCGTTTTATGGAAGCTGAGACCGCATTTCAAACCCTACAACAATTACACTCTCAGTCTCAGGAGGAGCTAAGCACTTTGGCATTGGAACTGCAAAACAGGTCTCAAATCCTGAAAGATATGGAAGCCCGTAACAATGTTTTACAGGAGGAAGTTCAGGAAGCCAAAGACCAGAACAAAAGCCTCAATGAGCTCAATCTCTCCTCGGCTGCATCAATTAAAAGTTTGCAGGAGGAGGTCTCAAAATTACGAGAGACAATACAGAAACTTGAAGCCGAAGTTGAACTGAGAGTGGACCAAAGAAATGCTTTGCAGCAAGAAATATATTGTCTTAAAGAGGAATTAAGTCAGATAGGGAAGAAACACCAGTCCATGGTAGAACAGGTGGAGTTGGTTGGTTTACATCAAGAAGGCTTTGCGTCTTCTGTCAAGGAGTTACAGGAGGAGAACTCAAAGCTAAAGGAAATCAAGGAAAGAGAAAGTATTGAAAAGACGGCCCTGCTTGAGAAGTTAGAAATGATGGAAAAGCTTGTTCAGAAAAACCTTCTTCTGGAGAATTCCATATCAGATTTGAATGCTGAGCTGGAAACAATCAGAGGAAAGCTGAAAACATTGGAGGAAGCTTGTATGTCACTTGCAGAAGAGAAATCAGGCCTTCATTCTGAGAAGGACATGTTGATTTCCCGTCTGCAGAGTGCTACAGAAAACAGCAAGAAACTCTCTGAAGAAAACATGGTACTGGAGAATTGTCTTTTTAATGTCAATGCAGAACTCGAAGAACTCAAGTCGAAATTGAAAAGCCTAGAAGAATCATGCCACCTGCTGAATGATGACAAGTCCACTTTAACTAGTGAAAGAGAAAGCTTACTCTCTCATATTGATACAATGAGAAAAAGAATTGAAGATCTGGAGAAAGAACATGCAGAATTAAAAGTGAAAGTTTTGGAATTAGCGACCGAGAGGGAGTCTTCTCTTCAGAAAATTGAAGAGTTGGGAGTGTCTTTAAATGCCAAGGACTGTGAGTATGCTAGTTTTGTGCAATTTTCTGAGAGTCGGATGAATGGCATGGAATCAACGATCCATCACCTTCAAGATGAAAATCAATGCCGGGAGAGAGAATATCAAGTGGAACTGGATCGAGCTCATGATGCTCACATTGAGATTATTGTTCTGCAGAAATGTTTGCAGGACTGGCTTGAGAAGAGTTCCTCTTTGATTGCTGAGAATCAGAATATCAAAGAGGCTTCTAAACTGTTAGAGAAGCTAGTTTCTGAACTGAAAGAGGAAAATATTGGGAAACAAGTGCAGATTGACTCCTCAATTAACTGCATTAAAATTCTGAGAACGGGGATCTACCAGGTATTGAAGAAGCTTGATATAATTCCAGGTATAGGTTCCGGTGATGAGAACTCGCGAGACCAGAAAAATATGCATGATATATTGAATAGACTTGATGACATGCAAACTATGCTTTTGAGGATTCGGGATGAAAACCAGCACTCTGCCATTGAGAACCTCGTCCTTATTGAATTTCTTCGGCAACTTAAATCAGAAGCTGTAGGTATCGAAACAGAGAAGAAAATCCTTGAGGAAGAACTTGAATCTCAGTGTCAGCAGCTCTTGTTTTCGCGGGATGAGACCCAGAAACTTATCTTCGTGAACGGAGAATTGACCACAAAAGTTAATCAAGGTGTCAACAGAGAAAAAGTTTTGACGGTGGAAATTGAGGATTTGCACAGGCAGGTGTTGCAGATACGAGATGACTACACCATTTTGCAGGGAGATAATTACAAAACGTTGGATGAGAAAGCATACTTGACAAAGTCGACATTGCAGTTGGAGGAGGAGAAACGTAAACTAGAAGAGGATATCTCTTTGCTTTTGTCGGAGACTATATATCAAAGCAATCTCATCATTCTATTGGAGGATGTCGTCTTGGAAAAACTTTCAGGAGCAATGAAACTAAACGAGGATCTAGACAGACTCAGTATTGTCAAGTGTAAGCTTGAGGAAGAGTTAAGGGAGGTTGGTGATAAGTTAAAATCTGCAGACATTGCGAACTTTCAGCTTCAAGGTGTGCTAGAGAAATCGAATGCCGAACTACTCTCTGCCAAATCAGCCAATGTTCATTTGGAACATGAAATAGCTAATGTGAAGGATCAGTTGGATCAGAAGGAGAAAGAGCTTTTAGAAGCAATGCTGATGATCTCCATCATGCAAAATGAAAAATCTGAATTATCTAAGGCAGTGGAGGGTTTAGAATGTAGATACAAGGAAGCTAAAGCGATAGAAGAGGATAAGGATAAGCAGGTCTTGAGACTCCGTGGAGATTACGATGAGCAGGTCAAGAAGAATAGTCATTTGAATGAAGCTAATCTGAAATTGGAAGCTGACTTGATGAACTCAGTCATAGAACTCGAAGAAATCAACGTGGAGAAGGAAAATCTGAACCAGGAGCTTTTTAAAGAAAGGAATGAGATTGAACTATGGGAGTCTCAATCTGCAACATTGTTTGGAGAGTTGCAGATTTCGGCTGTTCATGAAATATTGCTTGAAGGGTTGACCCATGAGCTGGCCGAAGCCTGTAAGAACCTTGAAAGCAGAAGCACATTAAAAGACAGGGAGATTGAGCAGTTTAAAGGAAGACTGAACAACTTAGAGGATGCGAACAAAGGACAAAACGATCTTATGTGCAAATACGCCCAAGCTATTTCCCTGTTGAAGGAAAGCATACAATCTCTGGAAAAACATGCCATGCCTCACGAATTCGAGAATGAGCCAGCCACAGTAAGTTATCTTAGCAAACTCTGCTTCTAATAATCATATTCTTTTTAGTTGGTCGTAATGAAGTTTTAGACAGATTTACCCTTGATCTGACATTTTTCCGTTGAACCGATGTTGCATCTGTTGCTTTGTTAATTTCAAGTTTTTCTTGTTGGATATTGACCAATCTTTTGTGGGTATTCTCTTACCAGGACACTGCTTCATTGGTGGATAACAACGATGGCATCTTAGAGATACAAGAATTGCGTTTGAGAATCAAAGCTATTGAGGAGGCAGTAACCAAAAAGCTTGCAATTGAAGAACTAAAAACTTCCTCTGCCCGAAGAAGCAGAAGGAGAAGTGGAAGCCTGCGGAAACAGAACCATGAAATCTACTCCGAGGAAACCGAGATGATCACAAAAGATATCGTACTCGATCAGGTTTCTGATTGCTCATCATATGGGATAAGTACAAGAGACATTTTGAAGATAGAAGATGGTCACAGTTTAGAGGTGAAGTCACAAAACCCTCCGAAAGGTAAATCCTTGTCTGAAGAGTCATTGGTTGTGGACAAACTAGAGATCTCTGATAGATTCACGGATCCAAACAAAGATGCAAACAAGAGGAAAGTTCTCGAGAGACTTGATTCAGATTTACAGAAGCTCGCAAATCTTCATGTCGCTGTTGAAGATTTGAAAAGCAAAGTGGAGACAGAGGAGAAAGACGAGAAAGGAAAAGAAAACGAGTACGAGACGATCAAGGGACAGATCAATGAAGCTGAAGAAGCATTAGAGAAACTATTAAGCATCAACAGGAAACTGGTGACGAAAGTCCAAAACGGATTTGAGAGATCAGATGGAAGCAAATCGTCAATGGATCTTGATGAGAATGAGAGTAGCAGAAGGAGGAGGATATCAGAACAGGCGAGAAGAGGATCAGAGAAGATTGGTAGGTTACAGTTGGAGATACAGAGATTGCAGTTTCTGTTACTAAAATTGGAAGGAGATAGAGAGGATCGAGCAAAAGCAAAGATATCAGATAGCAAAACGAGGATTCTTCTTCGGGATTATATCTATAGCGGAGTGAGAGGTGAGCGACGAAAGAGGATAAAAAAGCGGTTTGCGTTTTGTGGGTGCGTGCAACCGCCTCCATCTCCTTGATAGTTAGAACTTAGAACTGTTGTTGCGAGTAAGCTAAATAATGTTCATGTGAATGGAAACGAATTGAAGTTTGATATGAAAGAGAAACACACTTTTGCTAATATCTGTTAATTCGTTTCCATAGAGTTTAAACGAAATTTTTTATATTGCTAATAGCTTAAATTCCAAAGTTGTTTTACGTTTGCGTTTCAAAGCAGACGTAGCTATGGTGTGTTTAACCAACATAATCTGGTCTCCAAGCGCAAGTTCCAATACTACTCGATTACTTTAAAAAATACATTGCCAGGTTATGTTTTTGTAAATGGGAATACTATAAAGAAAATGAGTTTTGTTAACAAACAATATTAGAGATTTACACATTTTAAGGATATGATAATACACTGATCGAGACTTAAAAGGAGTAAAGAAGCTTCATTCGGCAGCTCTGAAAATGGTAAGGAGAGCCAAGAAGAGGTTGATAATATCTAAGTAGAGCGAAACTGCTGCCCAGATGTACTCATCGTAACTGTAACGTTTGATGAGATTGTCTGTATCGTAAACTATGTACCCGCAGAATATTATCGCAGCCAAACATCCATAGATCATCACTGAGATCCGACCCAACGGGAAGAAAATCTGCAAAAAACCAAACACAACCCAAAAACCCACGATCAGGGCTCTGTTTTCAGTATGAATTTCGAATGTTAAACCAAAACAAGCATTCATTGTAAGGGACAAGACAATGTGTTTACCTGAATAAGGGCAAAGACCATGAGAACGATGAGAGCACCAAACAAGAATGGACCGAGGAAATTGAAGTCATATCCTTTCTTTGCTGCCCAAAAGGTGTAAAAGGTTAAGGAAAGCACCACTACTGTTGTCAAAATCGCTGCCTCAAGAATCACTTTCCCTGTTCCAACAAGAAAGTTCCAAATTCTAATGAATAATTTTATAATCCCAAAAGTCTATGGTTTCTAAAGGTGGATTAAACACAAATCCATGTTTCTATGCAACCATGGAACTTTAACCTATCAATGAACCAGTTGTTATTGAGTACGAGGAAAGTCAAAACCAGCTCAAATGTGTTGGAGATCTTACAGGCTAATTTTAAATAAATCTTAAGCGTGTGATTTCAAGTAATTAATAAGTTACTTGAGAGGCAAGAAACGAATAAAGAGAACTTATTTCACAAGGAAAGTCTTACCACTGGTGAAAGCACATGTTAATCCAACGGCAAAAGCTAAAGCCACCGTGAAAATCCCTAAAAGCAGGTAATTCACCGGATGTTTCTGGTGGTAATAGTACAAAGGACACATTACTGCAATAACAAAACAATAACAGATTCAACCAAAACCCTAATCACATAACCATCGAATTGATGAATTTAACAAAAATTGCTTATTTGGTTACCTATAAGAGGCGTGATGATTAGGACAATCCAGAGAGCAAGACCGGCACTAGTGGTGGCGAAGAACACGGCAATGGGACGGACGAAGACCACCGTGGCGGCGACGGCGATGGTTGCTAAGAGCTGGAATGCGATTATGGAATATACCTTTCGGATGAAACCCCATCTGAGTTCGGGGCTCTCAAGCATAGTCGGATACAGAGATCTCTCACCGCCACCACCGGTCTCCACGTCATCTTTCCGGTAAGGAAGATTCCACTTATACATTCTGTAAAACTGTAATCGAAACTCTCTGAAAACAATGGATTCTGATCAAACGAATGGAAAAAAAAACGCGGGAATGTTCGAATCTTGAGAGTAGAAGAAGGTGACGATCGACGAATCAACAAGTAACGGAATTTGATTTCGCCGGCTGAGAAATTTTTGTTTGTTTGTTACGATTTTCCCGAGAAAATGCGAGAAAGTTTGAGATTAGAGGGTGGAGAGAAAATTAGGATTTTTGAAGTTATAAAAGCAGTTGAGTAAAGTAGAACGTTCTTGAAGGCACCAGGTTTTGACACGTGGCGTGTGAAGATGAATGCGTTAAGTTGTTGTTAACCGTAAAGTAAACCGGCTCGAAAAGTCTCTAGATGGCTCCAAAGGCCTAAACTAAACCGGCTCGACAAGTTTTTTCATGGGTACTCAGGAATTTCTTTCTTTCTCATAGAAGAATCTTGAAGGGGAGCCCAAATTAGTCCGTGAAATATATGGAAGAGTTAGGTATGTAATCTTTTGTAGAGTTCGCAATAACCAATTTATAATTAAAATCATAGTAGAATAAATAACTAGAATTTATATTTTCTTTAAGGACCTAAACTATAGCATCATAATCTAAGCAGAATTGTTATCCTCCGCATCCTCCACCACATCCTCCGCCATGTCCACCACAACCACCGCCGTGATGACCGTCGTTATGACCGCAGTGATTCCCGGAGGAGATAGCCGCTGCTGGAAAAATCACTAACCCACCATCTCTACTTCTTCTCACGTCATTGCTAGCTAGTACTAGTAGTGACTGTTTGTTTCTTCTCGTCCTCATGTAGACAGATGCAACAACATATCGTACCACCGATAAAAATCGAAATAAAGAGGACTGTCAAGACAGTAACAATATCCTCCATTATTGCTTCTACGTTGTGTTGGAAGAACTTGTTAAAAAGGATTTATTTACCATAAAAATTTACCTTCTCTCTATATATAATATTTTGTTTTGCCTTTCATTTTTATTTAATTATGGGTTATTTAGTGCAATAATGTTTGAGGTGTGTGATTTAAAATCTTAAGATATGCCAAAAAATGCAATTTTAATGTGTATTTTGTTATACATTTAGACGTGTTTCAAGAAAAAGTGTATTTTAAAAAACAAATTTTTATCTTGTTTTAATTGCTATTGATTTTTTCATTCAAAGAAAAAGTGTATTTAATAAAAATCTGAGGACCAACATCGCCTTTTAGCAATTAGAAAGTCCAATAGATGTATATATAAACAAATTTATTAGGGAACTAGTTAAGTTATAGCATCATAATCTAAGCAGAATGGTCATCTATCTTCCACATTCCCCAGCGCATTCTTCGCCATGACCACGACAACCATTGCTGTGACGACCACGTTGAGTCCTTGATCGTCGGAGGAGATAGCCGTAGCCGTTGGTTGTACGACTATTCGAGTTTAATTATTCTCCGTCATGAGACAGAGGCTACAACAAAATACTGTACCAACGATAACAACCAAACTAACGGTGGCTAACACGACAATAATATAAACTTCCATCATTGCTTTTATGTTGTATTGGAATTTCGCTGCGACAAGTTTTTCCTAAAGATTCTAACCATACAAATTTAGCTCTCTCCGTATTTATACTTTTTTTTTTCCTTTCCTTTTTTTTTTTTTCATTATGGGTTAACTACTGTTAGTGTAATAATGTTTGAGGTGTGTGATATTAAATATCTTAACATATGTAACAAATAAATTTAATCTATGTAGATGCGTTTGACATTAGTGTGACACATGTTTAAATATATCTAATAGTATTAATTATAATGCGATAAGTATATCAAACATTTTTAAGATAATAAATTAATATAAAAGAAAATAATATTTACTATAACTTAAATGAAATGTGCATATTTATGAATAATTAGTGCAATAATGTTTGAAGAAGTATCTCAATAAATGCAAAAAAATCATATGTTTGTTGAGCCTTTGAGGTGTTGATGACATTTCTAGTTCATCTAACTTGTGTTACCGTCTCATCACATATTGGGCTTATGTGGACCTAATTTGTGAGAGAATTACTTAAAAGTGGGCTTTCACAAAAACAGAACATGGTTCAGACTTTTACCCTTTAAAGGTCCATTGTCACTAATATTGGAATTGTTTTTTTTTTTTTTAATTTATTTATTTGACATCTCCAATATTGGAATTTAGTCCTAACTGTGAAAGATTTATGCAAGTGAGGTAATTAAATATAAAATTTCCGACAGTAACTTTGTCGGCTATTGTTTTTTTTTTTCCTGTCCTCGAAAATGATTATAATTGTCACATACAAATTTTGGTGTTTAGATGTGACAGGAATGAGGAATCAGACAAATGAAATACTATAATAATTGTTGGAAAATTATTTTTCGAAGCATAATTTGGACTAAGTTCTATCTTTTATTTTTCTGAAAATATATGATCTATTTATTACCAAAATTTCTAATTTTGGTTGATGACTATTTACCACCACTACTAAGTTTTATTGTTTGTTTAACATACGTGACAATTTGCTCACAATGACATAAGTTATACTATTTTTTAAGAAATTCATATATAAATTTATATATAGACGTGTTTTTCAAATTATTTTTTAAAATGACATAGAAAGTGTTTTGGTCCTAAAAAGTGTTTAAATTTTCCAAAGAGGGGATCACGTCTCTCGCAATCGTTCAGCAAACCTATACGAACACGTGGCATTCTCGTCCCGTGGGCTCTACTTGCGATTGTAGACGTGAACCTAGAAACTATATTTGTGTTTGACCTCTCATTGGCCCTTCTTTTTCTTAATAATTATAATTTAGGTCTCGTTTGTTTTTAAATCGTCATCCAGATCCATTTTGCCATTAATTTTATATTCTCTGTTAATATATTGTCCCCACTACTAGATAATAACTTTTGACAAATAAGGTTTCCAAATTCTTTTTATGTTGTGTTGGCTCTGGTATTACAAAAAATAACCAAAACTGTATGTTAAATAAAATTAGTTACTATTTTGGCATGAAGTAAATATACTATACATATATAGGCTAAAAAGTAAAAACTAAGAAAGGTAAAAATTACCTTTAATTTTTAAGAATAAGTCAAGACTTATTGTAAAATTCCAAATGTAGTATTGTTTTTTAATTTCTTATCCATATGGAGTTGTTTTAATTTATTTGATTAATATAAAACAAAAAAAAAAAATCCCAATGTGTATCTATCTCTAAAACATCCTTATTTGACCATTTGTATATAAACTAACTCAAACAATGATATAAAATGATAGAAGAAGAACAAGTCAACCTTTGTTACTTTCACGAACGAAATGTCAAAGGTATTCTTCAAGTGGATCCCTAGTTTATGATTTTATATATACCTTGTCTGCGCCATTGTTTTGGTCTACAATATTTAGTTGTGGGGTTTGCAATGCAAGACTAATTTGGGGGTCAAACTAGTAATGAATATATTGTAGTGGGTATAAAATAGTATAAAAACGAAAATTAAAGGGCTAATAAAGTAATAAAACTGGAAATAATATACGAAGGAGAAACAAACAGTATCGTGTTTTAGAGAGAGAAAGTGAGACGACTTGAGCGAGAAACAAGGCGCGGAGAGAGACGCCGTCAACAACAACACCCAGAACAAAGAAAAAGAAACAAGGAAGAAAAAAAGAGAGAAGGAGATTTGATTTAAATCTGTTTAATTTAAAATTTAATTAAGAAATAAAAACAAAATCAAAATCGCGATTTTCCGCTAAGCTCCTTTTCTTCCCTTTTTGTCAAAATTGGATTTTGCTCATTCTCGTGGAAGAAAAAAGAGAATTTTTGAAGTGTTTTGGGAGGGTAAGGGGTTCACGATTTGAAAATTTTGGATCTTAGATCTTTCTTCTTCCTACGAAACCCTAATTCGTCACATTGTATCAGCTCAATTTGATCTAAAAAAAAAGACTCTTTTTTTCTTTTTTGGGTTCTTTCTTTAATTTGAATTCCTCAATTTAAGGATTGTGTGTGTGTTTTTGTTTCCTTGTGGTGAAGGAATGAGAGTTTTGGGTTGATCGCATTTTAGGGTTGATTTTTTTTTATCTGATCGACGACTCGGATCTGAGGTGGGTCGTGTTTGGAGACCGAGTCAGGGTCTGGTCTGGTCTGGTGAGGTCGTCGTCGTCATCGGATGAAAGTTTCTGGGATCGAAAAGGACAACGATGAAATGGGCAACATTGCTTAAGGACATCAAGGAGAAGGTTGGATTAGCTCAATCCTCTGACGCCGCTACCTCCGACCCCTTTTCCGTTGACCTAACTGCTCCGCCGTCCTCTTCCTCTTCTCCTTCTTTTACTTACGCCTCCTCTTCTTCTCTTCATCACTTCAACTTATCTCCTTCAAGGTTTTCTTCTTTTCTCTTCTCGTTTTGCTTGATCTGGTTCTGGTTTCCGATGTTGCCCATTGTTGCTAGTTATAGCTTTGCTTTTTATGTTTTGTTTTGGGACCAGAGTTTATATTGCTTTATAAGTGATCGACACCAACTAAGTTTCTTTTAGATTGCTTTATTGTACCATTTGTGGTGCTAGATTTTTGTGATAGGTTGTTTTGGAAGATTTATATATGAGAGTCAAAGGCTGCTTCTACTTAATTGAAACAAAGATATAGTCTTTGAAGCTATCAGCTGCAACACTTTTCAATTGGATTCTGTAATTTTGTTGACTCATCGCTGTTGGTGTAAAACAATTGTTGATCCTCTCTTCTCTTTACTCCTCTCGAAAGCAGAGATAACCATGAGTTGGAGCTGGACTTCAAGAGATTATGGGAAGAGTTCCGTTCATCAAGCTCTGAAAAGGTACCTACTTCGATTATCCATACTCTTGTACACACGTTAGTTATTTTTTGGAACGTCTTACCTTTATTCTTGGAACAATATCTCTTCTTGTATTTTCTATACTGGATGGGCTTACAAAATACTACCATTTTATGAGTGCTAATCGTTCATATGTAATGCAGGAGAAGGAGGCCGCCTTGAATCTGACCGTGGATATATTTTGTAGATTAGTGAAGCGGCACGCTAATGTAGATCAGTTAGTTACTATGTAAGCTGTTCCTAACTCTTTTTCCCTTTTTGGTTGGATATACGTTGGATTGGGGTTTGTTGTTTCCGAGTGTCTTCTTCCCCTGTCTAGCTAGTCATCTTCCGTACCTCATATTCTATGCTTGTAGGTCAGATATGGTATAATTACCAATATTGAGAAATTTATTTTAATTGCAGGTTAGTAGAAACACATATATTCTCTTTTGTCATTGGGAGAGCATTTGTGACAGATATTGAAAAGTTGAAGATCGGCAGCAAGACAAGGTCACTGGATGTAGAGAAAGTATTAAGGTTCTTTTCAGATGTCACCAAGGTTTGCCTTTTCTTTCTGAGTGTGCATCTTGACATGTCACACTCTATTCTCTATCTTTAATCCATGATTTCTTCCTACAGGAGGGATTTAGTCCTGGTGCAAACCTCTTAACTGCTGTTGAAGTACTTGTATCTGGGGTACCTTTTCGACTTTTTCCTGTGTCTTTTAATTTAGCCACTCCATAAAATCTTGCAAAGCTCAATTTCTCATCGTCCAGGATGCTTACTCTTTGATGGTTTTATGCCTTATATATTGTGTTGCCTCTTATGTGTTCTTTTCAGCCTATCGACAAACAATCACTACTGGATTCTGGGATATTCTGTTGTCTAATACATGTTCTCAGTGCACTTCTAGCATATGATGAACTAAGCAAAAGTAAAATAACTGCTGATTTAGAAGAGGTATCAGCGGAAAAAGATGCTGGATACAGAGTTTTCCAAACTAGACGACTTGAGGTTCTGTTTCAATTTTTTTTTTCCAAATCATAATACGATTAGATATGTTTTTCGTCATTGTTTTGAGCTTAATATTGACAACCAAGTTTATACTACACAAATGCTTTATCAGTTTAATAAATACTTTGTGCCCCTTCATTCTTGTAGGTGGAGGGTAGTGTTGTCCATATCATGAAAGCATTAGCAAGCAATCCTTCTGCTGCTCAGAGTTTGATTGAAGATGACTCTCTTGAGTCGCTTTTCAATATGGTTGCCAATGGCTCCGTTACAGTTTTTTCTCAGTATAAAGAAGGTCTAGTTCCCCTCCATAATATACAGCTTCACAGACATGCAATGCAGGTATTTTTCACACATCTATTTTAGAACATCGTGCTATGAAATGGAAAACTTCCGTGAACGGCTTTCTAGATGGACAATTAAAACTGGATTGAATAATCTGATGCTTATAGTTTCATTTGACACCCTTTCGTGTCTCTTCCAGATCCTTGGACTTCTACTAATCAATGACAATGGGAGCACAGCAAGATACATACGCAAGCACCATCTGGTACGCCAGTGAATTATGCAGACTGCCTGAGTGTAGTATATTGATTCTCATGCATACTTTTAAGATGACCCTGGGAATAGTTTATTCTTTGTTGCTAATGCTGAACTATGAAGTGGCCAGTGCAATAAGGCATTAAAAAATAAATTCTTAATTTTTTGAGTTCTTGTGCAGATAAAGGTGCTCTTGATGGCTGTCAAAGATTTTGATCCGAGTTGTGGTGACTCAGCCTACACTATGGGCATTGTGGACTTGTTACTTGAATGTGTGGAACTATCGTACAGACCTGGTAAATTTAGTCTACAGAGCTCTAAATATTTTATGTCCGTATGAAAAAAATGCTGCGTGAGAGTAGAACATTCAGTAGTCACATTACATATATGGACATGTAAGCTAAAGCTGTTCTGATTATGGCTACTAATCTTTTTCAAATTTGACTCTGTAGAGGCTGGTGGTGTTAGGCTCAGGGAGGACATACGTAATGCACACGGTTACCACTTTCTTGTTCAGTTTGCCCTGATTCTATCTTCCTTGCCAAAAAATCCGACTTTTGTGTCCAGTCGTTCATCTATTAATCAGGATAGTGGTTCAGATGGCTCTGAAGTGTTTCCTGATGGAGAAAATACGAACAGTAGGGAAAATGCTGATTTTTCTTCACAAAACTTTGCTCCATCGTTGTCAAGATTGCTTGATGTCCTCGTCACCCTGGCTCAGACTGGTCCAGCTGAGCCATCTGTAGGGAGGGCCTCACGGTCATCCCAAATGAAGCCAACTGGGCATAGCAGAAGTCGAACTTCATCTGTTGACAGTATATATGATGAGACATGGGAACAGGGAAGTGGTAAAGTTAAAGACCTG